TCTCTCTCTCTCTCTCTCTCTCTCTCTCTCTCTCTCTCTCTCTCTCTTTCTCTCGATGCGCATCATTCTCAAGCTAAGGGGCAAAACAAACCTTTCATCCCTAGAGTGTTTTACTCAAAGGATTTTGTTAAAGGGGATGGACAAATAATTTAGGTGCCATTTCCATGGACAGCTACTGCTTATTCTTATGCCTCTGAAAGAGGAAAATCAGAGAAATCTTCCATTTTCCTTGTCCTTATAGAGTTCTTTCCTACTCTCTCACACTCCTAGGCACAGGGTGTAACATGAGCACTTCTGGGACTCTCTCCAACTGCCCTGTCCAAGGTTTTTATATAATTCACCTGTAACCTGGATCAGATCTAATCCAAATGGATCACCCACAGGTAAAAGTATGTAGTACAGAGAGTGGCTCACCTAGTCCTGCCTAAATCAGGTGAAGCCACACTGGATCATCCAACATGGGCCTCGGCTTTCCTCTAGTTCATGTTATTCAATGAGAGCCAAAGTGACTGTTAGGTACATTGGTACTCTTTAGGGTTGTATTCCTACTGATGAGATACACATTAGCATTTTTCACTTATTAAAAATATGCTAAATCTATTCACATTTTTCAGAGGGCACACAGGATAATCAACTACTACAGATAACTGAAGCAAATCCTCAGTATTTACACTACCTTTTTTCCTTGGTTGTGATGGTTCTTTCAAAGTAATTGGAGGAACTGGAGGTTCCTTCCAAGGACGTGGGCTCTTCTTATGAAATCTTTTTAAGATTGAAGAAACTGAGGATACATTCACAACAGGGAGAGTTATGTTAGCTTTATGGCAGCAAAACAGAAAATTCATCATGGTTGTGCGTTTGTAACTATGATCTCATTTCCTGTCTCCAGGTAGTCGTCAGAGTCAGACGGTGCTTCAGGAAGGTCACCGCCTTGTGTGATGAAGCATTCCACAGACACTTTAGGTAATGTCTACATGTATGTGGCTGTGACAACAGAAAGAGCAGCAGGACTGGAACGTGTTATATGGACATGGTACCAGACGGGAGTCACATCCTTCTGAGAAACACATGAACACAACCTTGTTCATACAATCCCTCTCTTCTCCCTGATTTCGCTCAAACAATAGAAGGTTCAGAAAGACTTCCCATGAGACTTTCAGGTTTGAAAGATGACTCTACATGGTAAACCATAAGGAAAGGCTCATGCACAGCACAAATGCTCTTTGTTTGATAAATGCAAGATGTTTGTCAGAAATGCTGTTTGTTAGGTACCAGAGGACTTCAGCTAGACTCTGGTAACTGAATTCAGAGTGAGTATTCCACTGGATCCAGGACAGGGAACATGTTTGTTGTTGACTTTTCATTTTTTATTTAATCATGGTATTTACAAGTCATGGAGAACATGTGGTATTGTCTTAGATGAGCTGGGAAATATAGAATATTGTATGACCTCTTATTTTCCACCTTTGGATACCATATTAGTTATAGTCTTTTCATTGTATTCAAATTCTGACAGAAGCCTTTTGAGAGAGAGAGACAGAGAGACAGAGAGAGACAGAGAGAGAGAGAGGAAAGAAAGAGAGAGAGAGAGTCTCTATCTTTCAATCCCTGACTCAAAACTGTACTTTGATCCATAAGTAAAGAGCCCTGGCTTAGTACAAATATGTGGCATTCCTTCTGCATCTTCACCTTGTCACATGTCTTCCAGTGAACAATCTGGACCACTAGGGATTATAGATTCTTCTGTATTTCTCAGAAATACTTAGACGCCAAATCATATTAAGTCAAGTTGTCCCATTAGATGGTATGGCAGGACAAAAATTCTTATATTGGCCAAACCCTGATGTCTTCAACCTGAGCAGGCAAGAAAGGTGGTCTGGCATTTGGATGATATGTATGCATGTGGCTTTCTAGATGACAAACATCCTCAGCCACTATGTGCAGCAGCCATACTAAGTGTAGCTGGAATGGCAGTGTGGGACATTAATGGTACACTAAGTATATACCATCCCTGCTTTATTCTAACTCATCAAAGTCCAGTTTCTAAAAACTCCTCTTCAAGGGGGCATTTGCTGCAAGCGCACTCTCTACATGTGCTTTTTTTAATTTTCAGAAATTAGGCTTAAAATACCTATTTATAAAAGGATGAGTTTGAATTTATGATTCTCTTCACTCCAGTTCAGGAGAACTGTGTTTACACAAATGTGCCCCCATAGGTGCCTATTAGAGACAGTGGTATCAAAACTAGGACCTTTCACATGCTAGGAACACACTAAACCAACTGGACTAGTCATTCTGCCCATATTAGCTCTCTGTGACAAATTCTTTTTATGTCAAAGGTCTGACTGTGAAGGCACTTTAACACATCCAACATCCCAGCCAAACTCTTTCTATGTAACTCATAGCTGTCTATATGGTTCCACTGAGCACTCAGACTCAGCAGGCAGTATGAAGACTGACCAGTAGTGAGAGAAGTAATACTGGAACTCAAATTTGAGCTTACCTTTAAAGATGCATATGTAGCAAAAAGAATGATCCAGCACTGCTCAATAACCAAGTGCCAACAACTATGTAGTCACTGCCTGGTGCACAAAATCCTCCCCAAACTAAAGGCATTAGAGTTGAATGCAGTTATTGTAGACACAGGGCCATGACCGGGTTACTTAGGGTATCGTGTTTTACCCTTTAAATTCCCAAGTTTCACTCCCAATAGAGATCTTATATCATAGTAGTGTACCAGACAAAAGACAGCTAGTATTTATACAATTCTTATCTACAATGTGTGTTGAGAAAGAAATTCTATGATACATACAACATTTGAATCTTTTATGCTCCACCTGTAACTGAAAGGAAAGAAAACATTTTGAGGCTCAGGTCATGCTGAGTTCTGTCTCCATAGTTCTTTGGTTCACCCTGTGTCACAGCACAGTGTAAAGTAGAATAGGAAAAAGACAGAAAAGGACTTGTATAATGCTTTATAGGATGATGTCATGGAGAACCCAGGCTATGTACTTTGTGACAAAAACTAAAATGTGCACCCTTATGTTGACTCAAAGTAAGATCAGAGCACCTTTTGCTGGCAGACCAACTTAATAACATGTTTTGTAAGATCAATCCCTCTATGGGGGAGGGACCCTCTAATTATTTGCATGGATGCTCAGGTTTTCAATGGAATATACCCTCAGGATTCAAATATTCGAGGCATGAAGCTTTCCACTACATAGTTTTGGGGAATGACTCAAACTCAATCTAGATGACAGACTCAAGAAACAAGCAGGAGAGGACCCTTAAGGAAAAATACACATTTTTATAGATGATATGCCTGTTAACTTTTGAATAAATATTATATAACATTTATCTAATGAGGAACCTTTTTATTCAGATAAAAAGGTTTCTGTAGACAAACCATGTTACCTGACACTGGAAGGTTCATGCTCTATTTAAGCAGGAACAAGCTCATACAATTCTATTTCTTCCTCTTCCCTAAGGTAACTCTCTAACACCCACAGTTCACTGTTCAGTTCTGTTGTTCTAATGGGAATTTGACAGAAACATAAGATCACCAAAGTAACTTTTCTTAGAGAAAAGGCAGGCCTTCTTACCTTCAGTGAGGACTCTGATGATGTCGGTTCTTCGTCAGCTGGTGAAGGTGCAGTGGCATTGTCTGGTAAGATGAGGGGGACAGACATTGACAGTCAGCTCATGGTACTGTTTACTACTTATGCAGCGCCTTTGCTTGGTGTGGATAAAAGTACAAGGACTTAGCACATGTGACTAGACCTAATGAACAAGATGGCTGGGCTGCTGCTGAACTGCTTTTCCTTGAAGGTACATTAAAGCAGAGAAAGACATGGAGAGATATGAGTAACAGAATTGATGCATTTCCAGACAGTAGGAACCCAGCACAGCATAAAATAATCTGTCTTTGATTTGTAAGATGAAATACAAGTCTTCACATGTATTCCATTTGGAGGGACCACTGTGCCTCAGTTTGCATGTGGACGTCAGAGGACATACTGTGGGATTCCAAACTTGTACATGTACAAGATAACCCCTACAGGTCAAAATGCTCAGGGAACATTTTGGAAGATGAGTGGAAAGATGATAAGAGACGAAGGAACAGGACATATGCTGCAGGATAGTGTCTTCTAGACATGAAAGGGACGATAACCCCATGAAATCTCAATAGAGTTGCTAAAACAGGGCCTGCATCAGGTCAGCATCTGCTGACCTCCCACCTTAGGTCAAGAGCTAGAGCCAATCAATGATGAGAGAGAGAGAGAGAGAGAGAGAGAGAGAGAGAGAGAGAAGGAATATCAGTTTTATCTAGGAGTGAACCCCCTCATAGCTCGACTTCAAAATAGCAGCACTAAACATGTAGACTTAAGAGCAACATTAAAGGCACTCAAGTGTTTTTGTAACAATAATAGTTATCATAGAAGAGGTTGTGAATTTGAAGGGAGAACATGGGATATGTTGGACTGAGGAGAAGGGGGATAGAATGACATAAATAAAGTATTCAATATTTCATGGACATTGTCATAGTTCATCTCAGCTGTCAAATAGATGATATTCGCACACTGGACATGCAAGTATTAGATTATAGCAATTAGTTTAGCTGAGGTGGGAAGCTAAATAAACTCTGCATGACATTATTGCTTAGGAAAGGATCAAGACTACATTAAAAAAAGAAAAAAGTGAGCTGAAAACAGACATTTATTCTTCTGTTTTGTTTGTTTGTTTTGAACTAGATTGTAGTTTGACTCTGTCACAATTATCTACCTCTGTGGATAGCTTTACCCTGTTTATGGTCTGCAAACTTAAATTTCATTGGAAAACAAACCATTCCTTTTTGAGGTTGTTTTATTTACAATATTTACCACAACTGGGAAAGTAGGTGAGCCAGACATTAAAGTGTAGCTACTGGGAGCAAAAGGTTGGACATTAGGCAGTGGCACCTCCTGAAAAGAGCAAGTGTCCTGGGAAAGACCATCTTCAGATGACCAAGCACACTTACAGACTTTCAAAGCTGCCATTTCCCTAACCTTTACTGATATCTTTCCCACGTTCTCACTCTCCAAGTCCAGTGTGTAACGTGACCATTCCTAGGACCCTAGCC